CTGGAAAATCATCAGCTCTTTTAGAACTAAGAAAAGGCTAACAAACAATCTCTTCTCCCAGAATAGTAGAAGAAAATACAAAGAAATGTAGTTGAACAGTGAACAACTGAAAGCATATTAGTAGCAACAAAGCATTCAGCTCTTCACTGTCCTCTGAGGCTGTTTTCAAATGTTGTAGCAACTTACATATTGTTTGGTTATCTTGTAGGCGACAGATCTTAGTCAAAGTTACATTTATCAATGCCATCTGCTGGACTGTAGCTTGTATCCATAACATAGCATTTTCTAACAACAAATCTAGTTGAAAATATGATAGGAGAGATGCAATTATTTTAACGAAAATGCATTACCAGGAAAGAGTGATGGCTCAATAATATTCTTCTAATGTTCGCATTAACTTTTACTTTTAGTCCTTGGTTTACTTCATGGCAAGGCAGATCACTTAGCCAACTAAAGCCACTTGCTATAGTTTGATTGTTAGGTTGATTGATCATCTGGTTGTTTATTTGCATGAAAAGATCAGTAATGATGATATGATAAATGATTCTTTAGGTTTGATATGTAGATTTCTGCTTCTGTTTTGTTTCTGTCTATTTCTTTCATGCCTTCTGTATGGAAAGTGTACGTTGTAGATGTTTGGCATGGCCCTGTTCTCTTTATGGTTTTTGGAGAACATAGACTTAATTTGTGATAAGATATTCTCTATGCTATTACTTCCTATATTGCAATAAAAAAGCATTTTTCCTTACACTTTCTGAACCATTTGTCGGATGGCAGGTGGGAAAGGTGTTGCTTAATGCTTTTCTATATCCAGGAATCAAGACACCTTCGCAAAAGAATTCCCTTGTTGCAGTATTTCATACTTCGGTAATAGATACTAATGCTCTCTTTGCATTTTAAATTGGACGGGTGATCTCTCTTTAGAGATTTGCTTGTTCACCTGTGGATCAATTCCCATCAGATTGTTTTAATCTAGAATCTGGGTCATCTTAGAGACAGTGCTTTGTTTGAAACTAGTAACTAGTTTCTGCCATTGTTATCATGCATACCTCCATGGCTGTCTTATTTCTGTACTTTATTTGTTTTTCAAATATATATTCTTTTCTTGGGGAAGTAAAAGAATGTTCCTGTAAATTTATGTTGTTTCTGAAGAATCAAATGAAGCAGCTTGGTCAAATAGTTAAGCAAACCCAGCTACTCCAATATAGCAGCTTGATGATCTAGGTTCATAATCGGTCCTGTCAAATGGTAGTGTTGTAGACTACAGACAGGGATATGCTTTTACTGTTAGCCTTCGCCAAAATCTTCTCAATTGATACTATTTCTGGAATCATTTTTTTTGTTCAAACCCCTGTAACTCATGAGGATTGACTTTTCTTGGTTTTTTATAGGGTGAAAATGGTGCTAATGATGAGACTGTCACGGCGCGCACATTCTTAATTAGGTTGAAAACGGAGGACGATCGCAATAAGCTAGCGACGGCAATACAAGACTATGCCCCTGCAACATGAAAATTACTACAAATGGTATGAAATGGTATTCATCTTATTTTTGTGCCCAAAGATCCGGAAAATATACTGTGTTCCTTGATAACTACTGGTCTTTTAGGTCATAACGAATCACTGCCAAGATTGGCTTGTAAACAAATAAGCCAGTCCTATTTTTGTGGGGCGGACACCAGGAGCTTGGGACTGTGAAAGGAACTATTGTATAAACTTAAAGAGGCCGCAGGACTTGTAACATAAGAGGAGTTTTCTTTTTTCAAGGAACCAACTCAAGAGGTTGAGTTTTATATTTTGCTGAAAAATTTAGTGGTTACAAGCTCTTTCTTTCTTTTATATGCACGTGGATCCTTTTTTTCTTAATTTGGAAAGTTTTGTAATTTAATACAAGTTAAACAACAATGCACCACTTACCTATCATCCTAAAAGAAAAATTCATGGCAAATAACGCTTTCTCCATGAACCGAAAGCAAATGTGCTCATTTTAATGGTCCGTCTTGGTCTTAGCTGGTGAAAATCATTTGTACGTATCAGAGTAGAGTTCATTTACTATATTCTTCTGGGGCGGGGAAAGAGTTTTTCTCCCACTTAATATGCAAATTGTTGAAGTTTTGCATTTGGTCAGAAACACATGCCTGTACTCTCCCTTGACCACAACTAGCAACTGGCACGGGAATCATTTGCTGGTAACTAGTTAAAAACATAAATATCTCAAAGAAATATATTTCATAATAAAGAATAAAAATTACTGTAAAAAGCATATTTTTCATAATAATTTTTAGAAAAAATTAAATTATTCAAAAGAAGCCAGAAGAAGCCGCCAGTAAATAATTTTTATTTTTCTAATAATATTTGTTGCTAAAAGATGTCTTTTTTAAATTTTGCAGGAGGGAAGTAGAGGAATTGGAAATAGGTAGAAAGAGATGCATCAAGCGTTTGTAGTCCAACGGTTAGGATAATTGCCTTCCAAGCAATAGACCCGGGTTCGACTCCCGGCAAACGCATTTGGGGTAACTTTTTTATCTCTATTTACAGGATAACCTTGACACCACCATCTGTTTGATTTGACTTTAATTTTTGTTAATTTCTACATATTATTTCTAAACTTCTGTAGATCCTTCTAAACAATTATTTATTTTTGTTTGTAATCTAAATACCTAAAATTTTTTCTAGAAAATATGGAATAGAATCTATGAAAATTTGACTTACATGTTTTGCTCTTTAATGCCTACATGCTACAAATTTAAATTTTCATTACTGCCTTCTGCCTCCCGAGAAATTCAACGGCAGTGTATGATTCTGGGGGGTCAGTAAAATTACTAAATCTTCAAGTATCAAATCTCCATTGGGAAGAATAATACAGGAAAAAAGCACGATTTTTTTATCACCATTTTCAGCCGTAAATGTTAGAAACTATGGATATGAAGGTATTGAATCCTAGCTATCTCATTATACATTCCTTCTACTTACAGTTCTCAATTATTTCCAAAACAAAAAAAAATATCATCACTCAACCACCATTAACTACCACAAGAATGAAGCCAAAACAGGCCCTGCAATTCACATATTTAAATTCCTTGATCAATTGCTGCATAAAGCCATGGTGTTCCAATCCACATCCTTTGTCAGTTTGAGTTAAAGCAGTACTTCCCTCCGAGTCTTTGCAGAGTACAGATAACATATTCGTCCTTCTAGCAGACAAGTGATAATCTAAGAGATGGAGCAGTTGGGATGTGTGTGCACGATGCCCACCTGATAACTGATTCAGTCACTATAACATCAAGCTGATCAAGCTCACCAAGTCCAATTGTGTGGTTCCTTTTGCTGTGGATGCCTGAAATCCTAGAACTATTTATTCCTCCTCTCCGAATCTCCAACTTCTGCTCTGTTTCTCCGATCTCACGCTTAAGAGGAAGTGAAAAATCCGGCAAAACAAATAGCTTCCCCAAGTTTGATTCTGTTTCAATTTGGAAACAAAGAGCTGAGGATCAGATTATACTGAAGTCCAAAAATTTGTTAATAGTGTCATTGCTAGAGAAAGATGAACCTAGGAAAAATTTGGAAGCACAATGGTGGTCAAATTCTGTAGGAAAAACACAATTTTTTTTTACAACAAAAGAACATAACATTATGCAAATCATTTTTTTTTTTGAAATAATAACATTATGCAAATCATATTACGCAAGTAATGTCACATTTCCCAGAATAATGAAGGCTTATTTTCTCTCAGATAATGCATCCAAATCGACACAATCATAACAATCAAATTCATATATTTGCTTTGAAAAATATTATTTAATCCATAATAATTGGCAAAGAAATAATGTAACATGAATACCTTTGTGTTTTTCTTCCGTTTTTGACAGTTTGGCCTGAGTCTCGAGAACTGAAGTTCCTTCCTCAACTGCAGAACATGGACTGAAGAAGGTAAAACTTGGCATTGATGGAACCAGGGATGAGAAATCTCCCATGCTTGATTCTCGGCAGCTAGTAAAAGAAAAACCTTCAAATACAGAGCAAGGAGTACAATTGTCAACTACGAGTGAGGAAAATGTCGATTTGCATGTGAATGCTGGGGATACTGTCAACTGGCCATTACTGAAGCTATAGTCCTGAGTCCTGGCAACATATGGAGTAGAGAAAGAACCTCCACCCGCTTCCAGCTGTCTATGGTCAAGGCCTTCTTGCTTTCCCAGTTCTTGAGCAACTTCTGAGCAATCCTCCAGCCAGGAGTGAGCTACAAAGGACAGTACTCAACATGATGAGCAAAAAGAGGTTCAGAATAGAAGTATCTTCTCTGGCTTCTGAAGCATGAATTCACATGATTGAATTGAAAGCATGGGGTACTGCCCTTTATAAGAGTGCTAAAGTGGCACCAGTCCCTAGTGGTAGGTGTTAGATATTTTAGATAACTGATTAATTTCATACCAATATCTACTACTTTCAATCACAAATTATAATATCAAATTAGAGAACTTTCAAACTGCACTAACAAGGCAATTTTAGCCACCAATTTATTGTCATGTAATAATGAAGTCTGTGGCTCTCTATGGTGAGAGTGGCACACACAACGGTTTGACGATTATATTCGTGAAGCATACTTTATACACATGTTTAGATCATTTTTTTAAAAAAATAAAACGTGTATTATGTATTAATACTGGCACTAAGGAGGTGCCCGCATATTTACAAAAAATTTACAAAACAATCAAAGAGTCAAGAAGGTTCCCTAACTTCTTTAAAGAATGAAGAGAATGACCCAAAAACAAAAAATGTCTAGATCAATTTTTGAGCAGTTTTTTTAGAAACACCATTTATTTAAGAAAAATTACTAATGAAACCTGGCTTTAATGTAAAAATTAACATGACTGCACTTTCGAAATATATTGACGTGATCTAGACACAATTTCACTTTTACAGAATTAACACTACCGTTGGTGGTGAAATTTCATTAATACTTTAGTAGTGTTTACTTAGGTATCCTTTTCCCTCATTCAAATTCTATTTATCTTCTTCATATTTATATATAAGGAAACAGAGACTGATCTTCAATTTTCCAATCAACATGTGTTTGGAAGGCCGTCAGTCTCTGTTTCTATCTTACTTTTTTTGATATATGAAGTACTGGGGTAAAAAGAATCAATCATGCTCCATTCAAGTGCAACAAATTAATTGCCTAGTCTTTTCCTCTTTCTCCATTCTCTTATAAAGATAGAAAATGACCCAATTACCATTGTTCAGATAGAAAAATTCAAATTAAAAAAGATCGTGAATAGAATATAGAAAAGGACTCAGTACTATACTAAGCTGTACTAAGAGAAAAAATATTAAAATTTCATTTTTCAGAGAAAAAATAAGAAGTATGGTTGATGAGAAGGGAAATAAATTTGAGAAGTGAAATAAAGATATCAAGAGAAGAGAGAATGTGGGAGATGAAGAGCAGGTTGGTTCATATCAGGTGGATGGTTTGGTTGATCAATTAAAGGCGACGATTACTAGAAAAAAGCACAACAAACAAGCTTTGCTGTGTTTGGTATTATGCTCATATATTTAATAGATGCAAGAGGTAGAGTGATGCAGAACAAAAGCATCTTAAAGTGGTTATATTTCAATACTAATTGATATTTATGTAATTTTAATGCTTATATATTATTAAGGTATTTAGCTTTTTCTAAGAACCGGTACCTATATAAACTTATTCTCAATGCGAGTTTACTATTTCCTATTTAGTTTGGACATATTTTAATTATTCTTTAGTATAACTTAATCTTGTTAATTAGTTTATTTTCTTTTAGTAGAATGCTTAGATAGAATTTGAAGGTGTATTGCTAAGCTTATAAGCTGGTCAACATGAACAAATAATCTCTCTAACAGTGTTTTGAAGTTTCCCAAGTGTTGAGTTATCAAGATCTCCAATTTGATTATTGATTTGGATACAATACTTGAGAAGAAACTTTATTAAGAAATAAAATTGAAGATCTTGAATCTTAATAATCAAACTAATAACCAAATGTTGTAATAGTTAACCAAATAACTAAATTACGATACCCTATTTATACCAAAATATAATAAAAATAAGAATTCTTAAGTCTATCTAAGAATTCTATTAAATAAGAAAATATGTTAATTGACTAGAATAAAGTATAATAGAAAACAAATAAATGAGATCCTAATTAGTTAGGCAATAATAAACTCACATTTATGCTTTTTCTGAATAAAATAAGCTCACACTTGTAGTAAATCTATGGGTATTAGTTCTAGAATAAGCTAAAGATATCTTCATAATATATCAACATTACAATTACATAAATATTTGTTATTCTTGATATATAACTATTTTAAAATCTTTTAATTCTAACTCATCCTAACTATTCTGGAGGAAACTCAACCTCAAGTTTTAAAATATTTAAAGAGAAAGAATATGAAACTTGGAACTTGTCTTCCAAATAAGTAAAGCCTGTGAAGTATGAGATTGTTGTGGGGGAAAAATGCTTCCAACATCAAAGATTCCGAAGTACTAAACTAATTAGGAACTATATAAAATCCATAAAATGCAAACTAGCCAAACTTTCCTTATTACCATTAAGAGCCAAAGAAATTTCTGGGCAGTATCTTCAAGTGGGTCCTTTTCTTCAAATCAACTAAAACATTAGCATCTTCGACCTCGACAACATTATTGATCAATATATCCATCACTAGGTAACTCAATTTGTACAGTAGAAATCACAACATCTTTCATAATCTTCTTGCTACCTCATTTATTAACTTGTTATCGTTTTGTTGGATGGTCAAGGATGATCCTCTCAGTTACCTTGTTTAATCATCAATAATAATGACATCATCTTGTTCCATAGAAAGAGGTAGGTCATGGGATATAAAGTTCACTACATTACTGTAATCCTATAGAGGAATGCTTGACGTGTTTTATGTTTACATCAAAGATGGTTTAAGAACTAACCCATAAGTAATCGCTGAAACTTTTCAATTATCTCTTAGAACACTCCATAAGTGAATAATGCAACTCAATCAATATGTAAACATTTTCTTGTAATAGAGTAGTTATAATTGCTTCAAGATATGAGAGCATATTTTTCCATTATAGTTGGATAAACTTCAGGAAGTTCTTGAATATTTTGACAATGAACTTTTCACAACCAAAATCAATTATTATCAGATATCTTAATTCTCAATACAGAATCAATTATTTTTCACAAGTTTTACACTTATATTAGAGTGCTTGAGGAGTTGATCAACGACCAATGCTCTTAATAAGTACATTGCAAATCGACTTAGATGGCTCTATAGACACTTTCAATAGACAATAATAACTTTGTTGAAAGGATGAAGAAGTTAACTAGTTGAATAAGGAGGGTTCATAAGCATGTAACTATCCACCTGCCATCATTCAAGCCCCTTATCAAAGAACACCATAATGTTACTAGCATTACATCTATTCTGTCTTCCATCAAGCCATTTAAGGATTTAAATGCACAATTTAACTTACATAACTTTGGTTGACTGCATGACAAGACATCAATTTACTTGCCAGATAATCAATATGTCCAAAAGACGAGTATCGAGTGTGAATTTGACCAAACTGAGCACAAAAATTGAAAGAACATGCTAAAAGACTTTGAGAATTGGTTGAAAGGTCAAGAACCAGTCTAGAAGTAGCTTAACCAGAGTATTCAAACAGGATTAGGTCAAATCAGTTTGATCTGATCAACAGAAGGATTCGGAACTCCAAAACACTAATGTGCAGTTGTGAGCCGTGGGAACCACAAGCTAACCTGGTGGTCATCAGACGTCAATCTTTCACTGAGGAATTCGACTAGAGGCCTCAGTTCTAGATCTGGTGTCGATGTCAGGAAGGAGGTCATCTATCAATTGTAACAACGGTTTTCAGGTTTTCTAACAAGTTAGGAGGATTCCAATAACAGTGGATGCTGAGATTTGGTGTTTGGTGCCAATTGCACACTTCCGAAGCTAATGGGCTTGGCAATAACACCCACCTCCTAGTGGTGGCCAAATGAACGCTTGCAGCCATATGGTCTCAAACACTGGGTTTTGTTGTTGAGACTTAACTTATGCTTTCAGGATTCTTTTTCCTCTAAAGTTATTAGTCCTTCTTTGTCAATTGGTTGGAAAGGTTGATAAAAATTACGAGACAAATGAAAGTTGGTCTTTGATTCCAGCTATATAGGACAAACAGAACTTGGACATAATGCTTGGAGAAACTTTATTAAGAACCAAAATGAGATATCTCGAATCTCAATAATAAAGATAACTCAATGGTTGTATCATAATCATACGAATGGTCTTCCCAATTACAAAGTTAGGTTACTTTATTTATAATTATAGATATCATAATACAATCAAAATAGAAATTCTTAAGTTAATATAAGAATTCTACTAAAAAGGAAAAATAAATTAATTAACTAGAAAAACCTATTATAGAGAATAACTAATTATAGATCATGAATAAATTGAAAATAATAAACTCACACCGAGTAAGCCTATAATATTAGTAGGGATGGTCTTATTCTGCTCCTCAAACCAATTATAGGTGGACTGCAAAATTTGGCACGGTTTTCAGTCCAAACCATAGTACAAAAAAAAAAATTTAAACCTAAATTTTGAAAAAACAAAAAAGAACAATCTTTGTTAATTTTTTAATTCACAGATTTAAAAAACAGAAATTCGGTCCATTTCGGTCCAGGTTGGACTGGACCGATATTTTCTAGTCCAATTTTGGTCCATTCCAAAATAAAACAGTTCATTCTTCAGTCTAGACCACAACTTTTATTCGGTCCTCGGTTCAGTCTGGTTCTAGACTAATAAATACCCCTAGGTACTAATTTTTAAATAAGCTAATAATACATAACATTACAATTACATAATCATCTCTTACTTTTGAAATAAGTTCACTTTAAGATCTTATTATTTTGCTTTGTATAGTAAAATTATGCTAATTTGAATTTATTATAATTCCACTCCTAAAGAGAGAGGCTGAAAGGGAGAATGAAGATCAAGCCCCGCGATGGATAAAGGAGAAGTAGATAGCTATAAAAGAGGGCAAAATTTTCTTGAAAATATATATATATTATTGATTTGAAAATTTTATGTTAACTTATGACCACTTAATTGATTTATGTCACCCTAATATTTTTGTAATGTTATTTTAAATAGCGACAAGGATAAATTACATTTTAATATTTTTAAATTTTAATCATATTTTGGTCGTTTATACTTATCCCCTGTCATAACTTCTCTGTTTTTCAGATACGGCTGCATTCAGAAACTTGCCAAAGATCGTTAGCTTCATTTACTAATATTAATTACATATCAACCACCTTTAGTACCTGATATCATGCAAATATGACATCCAATACCTAAGATCAACTAGATAAGATATCAACCATACTCTCTAACTTTAAGTTTGACTTCTGAGCCCCTAGAACAGATTTATCAGTTTTACCTGCAAGTTTATCAACAACTTGTTTATTGCATACCTAGAACCTCTTCAGCAGTGAACCTTTTGGAGGGATCTACACATAGCATCCCTCTAATTAAGTCCCTTGCAGATGTAGATACTTGATCCCAAGTGTCAGAACAGAATCTTAGATCCGCAGCCCTAACAGCATCAAAAATCTTTGACTTTGTCTTACCCCAAAAAGGAGGCATGGCACTTAGAAGAATATATAAAATAACCCCTGCACTCCATACATCAGCAGCTTGATTGTAACCCCCGGCCAGTACCTCAGGAGCAATGTAAAATGGGCTTCCAACAGTCCCATATAATTTTTGCCCTGTTTACAAGAAACTAATGTCTTAGGCTATCAAACCTAACAGATAAGATATGCACATTTGGGAAGTTATATACTTTACCTGAGTTTATATAGGTTGCAAGACCAAAATCTGCAAGCTTAATTGGAGACGATGAGGACCTTGTGGCCAAGAGAATATTTTCCGGTTTCAAATCCCTATGAACAATGCCATTATCATGACAAAACTTAACCACTTCCATCAAATGCCTGAAAAGAATCCGAGCCTCAAACTCAGAAAACCTTCCATATTTTTCAAGCCGGTGAAAAAGCTCCCCTCCTGCACACAACTCCATCAGAAGATGCACATAATCTTCCTCCTCATAAACTGCCTTGAGGTCCACAACATTTGGATGCCCAGACAACCTAGTCATTATTTCAATCTCAAGCTTTACATTGCGCACATCATCAATTGTGACCAACCTATCTTTAGAAATAGATTTGCAGGCTAGTACTTCTCCAGTAAACTTATCTGAGCATTCTCTAATCACACCAAATTGTCCCCATCCTAATTGATCTCCAAGAACATAGCGATCCTTTAGATTCGACACTCGAACAGTGTCTAAGATAGTTTCAGTAAGACCTGCGACTTTATAACAGTTGCAGAATCGAATAGAAGGTTTACTGATATTGTCTCTATTGGCTATTTCCATGCCAATGAGACAACTCTAGTTGTGAAAATACAAACGGGAACCTCAACTTCGTGTCACTTTGTACCCAATATTGCACTTTATGCATAAAAAGTGTACTCTCCTGCTAGCTGAATTATGATTTGACCACAAAATATTGCAGAATATGATGCATTCTTGAAGGAATCCTTAATCAGTTTCAGAAGACGAAAAGCAGGAAGCCTTCAATGTTTCACATCGATCACCTAGTGCATAAAACAGAAGTGATAAATTTCAGATAAATTGTTCAAAAAACCACAAGTTTACTGCTTTCCGTTCTATACATTCTCTATCTGTTCTTTTAGTAGGTATTAAATCTTCACCAAAATCAGCAACGGCCAACTTCTCAAATTCTCTTCATAGATCTAAAACTGAATTTAAACCCTTAATATACCAGAACACAAGCTTTCCCGCAAGACTATTCAAGCTACAAACCCATATAGCAACACAAAACACAATCATCTGAAGATTGATCAAAACGCGACAAAGAGAATCTCCATAAATAACCAGAGATTAAACAACGACAACAAACAAACGATGAAAAACACAAATCCCAGCACAATTCCAAAACCAAAGTTAAAATTTTCGTCAACTAAAACCACAAAGAACGCATAAAAAAGGCAAGACCGAGTAGAACTACAATAACCACAGGAGAATAAGAAAGAAACTGACCTGTTCAAGAAAAAAATCCATTAGAACGGTAAGAAAAAAGTCCAAAATCAGTGTTCGCCGAGCTCTCTGGTTCAAAACACTTTTCATGTGAACGGGAACCGGCAAAACCAGTTTCTCACCTCGTTAACGTTCTATATATTTGATTCGACAATAAAATATTATATATTCATGGGTAAGAATAACCACCAATCAAAATTTGACGCGTGTCCGAAAGTCAAATCTTGGTCCTATTGACTCCCACGACTTTTCTCTCATATTACTTAATTGCCCCCAACAAGACGTGCAATGATATTGAGCATTCGCACATCCAGTGGTGGGTCCAGCAATTTGGCCTTTTTTAAAATTAAAAAAAAAAATACAAGGAAATTTATTTTTAAATATTTTATATATTCCCGCTATCATTTATTACAGCATTATATACTAAAATGATATATATTCTTCCACCACTAATTGGGTTCGGATTTTTTAACAATAAGGTCGAGAGGACATTAATTAAAATAATAATTAATAAATAAAATCATTATTTATCACAACCAATAGAAAATTATAATTAAAAAATATGTTTTTATTTTTAAAAAATAATACGTTTTGTGTTATTAATATAAAAAATCACGTGGTTGTTGAAGTGAAAATGATAGATAAAATTTTTTCATTGAAACGGAATCTGATCTTTGATAGTGCTTTTTATAGTAAATGTGATGAAATGTTGTCATGACATATAAGATATGGGCATTTCAATATTCTACCATTGAAATAAATGTTATCACATGCTCTGATACCAACTGTAACACCCCGTTTTTTTTTTCTTAACGGTGTACGATAAAGCACTCATACAACACAATACCGAAATCCATATTATTCCAACCATGCACAAGAGAAACTTGTCCACCTTCCTTGTTCCAAATCAATTGTACATACATCTCCACCTCTACAACACATAGTAATACAATATCAAACATTCCTAGATATTCAATATCCAGACTAAACCATCCTTTCAAACTACTTTAAATCACAAACAAAACTTGTGCCCTATGGCACTACCGACGGGGCTCCGTTACCAGCCGCTCGGATCCCAATTCCGTCCCTACTCCACCTGTGAATGATGAGAAGTGAGTTCACATAACTCAATACGATAAAAATCAAGTTGTAAGTGTAATATGCAGTGACAAGAATTTCCAGGAGTGTCTATATGCATTTATCCTACCCAACCCCAAACAACTCATAACCCCCTCCCTACACTAATTATCAAGGTCCTATTCCAAGGAAATAGCATGGCCAAACAACCACACCCACCCAATAATCATCCATTAACTCCCGTCACCAACATCGGCGACTCATACACTCTTCCCCCATCTCCCGACCTCACGAGGCCACACACACACACACACAACCACCTTCATTCCACGTCACCAATATCGGCGACTCATACCCATATCTCCACCTCTCGACCTAATAGGCCACGCACACACACAAACACCATTATTCCGCGTCACCAACATCGGCGACTCATACACTCTTCCCCCATCTCCCGACCTCACGAGGCCACACACACACACACACAACCACCTTCATTCCACGTCACCAATATCGGCGACTCATACCCATATCTCCACCTCTCGACCTAATAGGCCACGCACACACACAAACACCATTATTCCGCGTCACCAACATCGGCGACTCATACTCACTCCTCCACCTCTCGACCTAAAGAGGCCACACACACACACAAATACCATCGTCTCGCGTCACCAACATCGGCGACTCATACTCACTCCTCCAACTCTCGACCTCGTTGGGCCACGCACACACACAAACCTTTCCACCTCCCGTCACCACCATCCGTGACTCATGCACCCTTCTACCCCTCTCGGCCTTGCTAGGCCACACTCACATACATATCCCCTCCCTGCTCCACCAACATCGGCAACTCAACCCGCCCCTCCCAACGGCCTCCAAATCTCCCATCCCAAACCGCATGCTCTCATCTCCCCTTATACCATGCTAGTCCCAAGCGTTCTAACTTGCTAACTCCTACTGACCACAATACTCCTCTTCTCCCATCCAATCCCCCTCAAATCCTGTTTCCTAGTCCCCTCTGCCGTACCTTCCAGCCCCCTTCCCTCTCCCACTGCCCCCTACCCGCTACCTCCCCCATCCTCCTGCCTCCTCCCGGTTCCTATACACTTTTGCCTACCTAGGGCGATTAACCTCTCAGCTTGCACCGTTTCACGCCACATACACGCCCTCACCACCGTGCATTTCGGGGAAACACATCGCCGCCTATTAGCGGCTCCCTCCACATCCCCACCCACGCACACACCTCTTCTGTCCTCTCGAGTTTTTTATCCCACCCGCGCCCCCTAGATTGTCCTCTCACATCCTCCTCACTCTGTTCTACCCGCACCACCCCCATCCTTCCCCACGGCTCCCCACACGCCTCCCACACCGCCATACCTTCAATTCCTTCCCCGATCACCTCCGTGAGCGCGCGGGACAACCCCACGCTTACGGCCTACCTTCATTGCTCCACTCCGTCGCGCCATTGCCGACGCCGCAACCTGCAACAAAATTCTCTACACACACACACCGCACCAAACAGCTCAAATTTTCACCGTACCTCCCGTTTCCATCTTCCTTCTTCTTGTCGGTCGCGTCGTCCGTCCACGGCCTCCTTCCCTCTCCCTTCTCGCTCCCCTCCGCCCCGACTCTCTCCTCTCTCCTTCTGGAACTTTCCTCTTCTTCTTCGTCTCCGCTGTCCTCCTTCCCTCCTTTTCCCTTTTTCTCTTTTTCCTTTTTTTTCTTTTTTTTTTCTTTTCTCCTTCTTTCTTCTCCCTTTCCCGACCTCCTTTTATACTCTGCCAGCCTACCCCAAAACGACGTCGTTTTCCTACATCCCAAAACGACGTCGTTTTTCTTTCTTTCAAAACGACGTCGTTTTTCCCCTCTCTAAAACGACGTCGTTTCCTACTTGATATAAATTTATTTAATTATTATATTATTATTATTATTATTATTATTATTATTTTTATTTTTTCTTTCTAGTCTTTCTACTTTCTAGTCCTTACATATGTATGCATTAAAGTCTTATTATTTAATATACATAAGTGGCGAGGGTAATATAAATATTTGCATAATTGATTATTTATTCATTTACCATATAGTTGTATGACATATGTAATTGTGGGAGTGGCTGGCATTCCTGGAAATCAAAACTTTATGTATCTTTAGGTGGGGCCCACATTTATAAACTATAATTTATAAGTATAAATGCATGTACATATATATATATATATATAATATGTGCACGTATATTTTAATAAATGAATTTTTGTTGGTGGGAGAAAAATGAGGCAAATCCCAGCTGTGTCCATGTTGTGATTAGCTGTACCCACACACCCAACGTGTATTCGGGCTTTTTCTTTTCTTTTCTAAATGCTTTTGGTTTAAGTTTTCAAATACTTCAACGGTCTTATTTGTATTCTTCTTATCATTTTTTTTTAAATTATAATTTAATATGTAAATAATTTATATAATAATAAAAATTAAAAATTAACTATCTAATAAATAAGCATTACCCAATAAATAGGATAATTTAAATAATCATTAGAATAAAATCCGTTAATTTCTTTTAAATTAATTTTATTTAATAATTAAAATGGTTACTATGCGAAAAAGTCTATATTTTCATTATTGATTTTAAATTATATTTCACATTTAATTGTAAACTTAAACATAAAATACCAAACATGATCAATTTGAAAAATAACTTTATGATTTTGTAATATTATATATTGGTAAAAATTAATGTAAAAAATTAGATAATGATAAATGAATTATGATTTTTGAATTTGGTGCGCATAACACTATATGAGAAATTTGTTATATTATTTAATGAGTAAAAATTAAACTAAAGTCTGAAATTCATAAAATATTATTTTATTATGTTTAATGGTTACGTTCTTAATTATTAAAATTGCAAGTAGAATAGTACATAATTTTGAATGTTAAATAAGTAAAACATAATAGTTAACAAATAACTCAATAAAATAAAAATAATAATGGTTGATTAAAAACATCAATAATTTATAAAATTGTAAATTATTAATTCGACACTTCATATTATAATAAAAACTCTCAATATAATAGCTATTATAGTTGAGTTTATTAAAATAAAGCATTTCAAATTGTGTATTAATACATGATTGTTTATACTTAATGACTTCATGTAATATAATATATTTACTAGTTATTCAATACTAAATTTTATTTATTCGTATAAATAATATGTTTGGATGTTCTTAAATTTTATTGTGCCAAACCAAAAAAGTATGTTTACATTGATAAAAAGCAACACATAATCATAAAAAAGAAAAAAATCAAATCGAGTACTACAAACACACTAATTACGGTATATGCTCACTTGTAACTTTATTTTTCATCGAAGATGTATAGTTTATTAAATAGATACTTAATTGATAGATGTATATGAATACTCATAAATGGAAGATAATTTTACTAAATTTAGCAAGATTTTGTACGTAAATTTTATTGATAATGAATTTGATGTTTTATTTGACAATAAATTACATTACCTGATTTTTTAATAAAAATTTGTAATATTTTTGTTAAAATTTGTTGATTGTATTTTGATTAGTTTATTTTATTTTATTTTATAAAGTTACAGTTAATAGTTTTATGTACATTTTTGTTATTAAATTTATATTATTATTATATAATTTATTGTCATTTCTTAGTTTTTATATTTCTATTTATAATTTTAGTTTTTTCTTTAAATCTTTATTTTTAGTTTTGTTTTTATCTCAAATTTCTATGATTTAAAATTTTCAATTTTAGTTTAGATGATAGTTCTTCTATTTGCACATTCTTTTACTTTTTATTATTCAAAATATTCAAATTGGGTGTGCTAAACAAATTTATTAAAAATTAAAATAAACAAATATAGATGTAGTAAACAACATGAGTTATACGAGTATTTATACTAATATACTAAATGTTATTAAAAATATATATTATCTTTTAAAAAATAAATATTTTTATTAATATTTATAATGGTAAAAATTAAATGGAGATAAATGTTGGAGACGGTAAAAATTAAACTACTTTAATTATATTATACTTATATATATATATTAAATAATATTATAAAATTAAAAAACCCTATGTCTCCCCAATTCGCTCCTAAGTTGCCTCTGTCCTGTCTGTGTTCACACTTTCAGTCTCTATTAAGTCCACAACGCTCAACCTCTGTAGTCACAAGTCAGTGACTACTTTCGTTGTGAACTTCACCGACATGGTCACCGATCGCCATTGACGTCTGAACTGCTTCATTCTTAACCAGTGTACAAAACGATTGATAGAAAGCGTGATCACAAGAAGAAAGCCCTTGTCTTCTCTGTGTGACTTTTTTCATGTACTATTCAGTTATTTAAAAAGCGTGTATTCACAGACCTTTCTGAGCAGATAAAACGGACGTCCCTTCTGTCAAGAATGTAAGTGAAAATTTACTTTTTTATTTATTGCCTTTTGGATTTTGGCATTCTGTGTTTTTTCTAGGTTTGATTTTTTTTTTTTTTGGGGGGGGGGGGGGGTGTAAGCACTTCTTTTTTTCTCTTTTACGGAGAGGGCGATCACGGTAATCTTGTTTTGCATGTCTAATTAGTATTGCGGTTTTGCTGGATGATCAACATGAAGTGGTTTTAGGTGTTGAATTTGTTGCTCTGTTAATGTAATGGGTTTTCCAGGGTTCAAGATGAAAGCATTACAAAATGTGCATGGCGATTTTGCATTCTCGTCTTGAGTTTGTTAAATGGTATTTGCAATTTTGACTCCGTTGTGGTTGAAAGATTTTTTGATTGCCAGTTTCTCTGCTTGATACATTGACTTTTTTACTAAAACGATCACTGGATTATTTAGAGTTGATTAAGCCTTCTATTTAATATGTTCTGTATATTGTTTCCTTCTACCTTTATTTTTCCTTTTTAGTCTGAATCCACTGATTCTCGCATTCTTTCCTTTAATCTCCATATTTTTAGAACATCAGGGTCTTGTTATAAAATGATATGTCAAACTACTGTAGCAGGAATTGGATGACCTTTTGAATGCTGTCCTTATTGAACAAGGAATTGATTAACTACAATTCTGCTTTAGCTGCATTTTAAGTTCATGGTGGTGTTACACTTATTTAGATAATTGAAGAAACTAAGTTAAGTTGTTTGGGGGTATTGACAACCATAAACCGGATTAAGTTTTGATGCTTTAATGGCTAATTCAATCAAGATCAACGACTGATGCAATTTTGACAGTCTAACTCTTTTTTCTTGTTTGTTTAAAGTTTACTTCAAGAAAGATTAGGTATGTTATTCTTCTTGTTTCTTTCATATATTTTACTGGAAATTGAGTAAATAAATTATATGGGCTCTTACTTACCATAAATAGTAAAGAAATTAAACTGGGTAGAGAATGAGTAGGTATGATATTCTTCTCCTTCTGTTCATGTCTTCAACTGGAAATTGGGTGAGACTTGAAATGGGTGATGCTGTCAGAAATAGGTAGTAAACATATTAAAGGATTTGGCTCTTATCCATGATGTTATAAAACTAGGATAGAAAATTTACAAGAAGAAAAGAATTCAATTGTGGTCGTTCAAATGGGTGTTCTATGCTTGTAAAATTCAATGGTCAATTCCTTTATTATCTTGTTATATGTTCTGCCCTTGAGCATATTCATGTTTTTATCTACTTGTTATGCAGATCTTTATTGTGCTTTAATGGGTTTTGATTTTTGGTAATTCTTCATTGTTTAATGCTTGGAATTGAGCAATTGATGTTTAGGTTGCTTGGTTTGTTTCTAGAATCGGAAAATTACGGACTCATATGGACAGTGACTTGTGCGGAGAGCAAGAGGTGCCATCTGCCGTCCTAACAGGCATAAATTTCAGTGTCTCAGTAGATAAAGTAAGTTCTTCACTCTGCATTGATTTTCATCCAGTTGTTTGAATTTATGGGAAATTACTAACAGCAAAGTTTTTCTATTAATATTCAATAAAAATCCTAGTTATAAGATACATATGATCTGATCTTTTTAAGAAAATAATACACGTGAGCTGACATCACCCAAATGATTAGTTGTTTGGTTGGCACTAGATTTTTTGTGTGTATTATTTTTTTTAAAATAAAAGTAAAAAGTTGTATTAAAGTAAATGTCTTAAGGAGGCACCATCTATTTACAAAAATTTACAAATTGATTAAACAATTGACAATAGAACCGAGATCATCAAAGCATTCGATGTTATGTTATAAAATAGTAGACCCAAAATAATGGAACTAGTTGTTAGTGATGATTTTGAAGTTGACTTCTTTTCATTCGAAAATACGATTGTTTCTTTCTTTCCAAATGACTTAAAATATAGTGAGAGGGACGAGTTTAAAAGTTTTCTTGTGACAGCTCAATCATTCTGTTGCAAGAAGCTCATCCAAAATTGATTTATGTTTGACTCAAAATAATCCCATGAGGCTAAGAATAGTAGACCAGAGGTTGTGAGAGACGGAACATCCCAGGAGTAGGTGATTACACGTTTCGTTGCTGTTTTTATAGAGAAAACATCTATTTATAATTGTAAAGCCTCTTTTCATTAAATTATCTAATGTAGGAATGCAGCCCTTTGTAACTTCCCATGCAAAAGAAGAAATTCTTGGAGTGGCACCCTATTTTCAAATAATATTAGCTGAAAATTTTGTCTGTTCTTGTGGAACATTGCCGACAAAAGTCTTATATAGGGTTATCATTGCAGTCACCATTGAACTATTTACTCATAATGATTGATGTCCAAAGGCTGTTGTTGTCATTCCAAAATCTCCATATCCATTTTCCAAGTAGAGCTTTATTTAGTTTGTCAATTGATCTCAATATCCAGTCCACCTTCTTTGATTTCTTTCCAATTCACAAGATGAAGTTTTTTGTTATTGTTGTCACTACTACCTCAATGGAAATTGTATTGTATAGCCTCTAGTTTGTTGGCAACACTGCTCGAAATAGTTAGTACAGATAATAGGTAGATGGGAAGATTTGAGAGTGTGCTTTTGATGAGTGTAAATCTACCTCCCTTGGATAAGAATTTCCTCTTCTAGTTTGCAAGACGATTATGAAACATGTCAATTATCGGATCCCAATAGCTTTTATCTTTGAATTTAGCTCCAAGAGCAGCACCAAGATAAGTAATGGGAAGATGAGATAATTTACAACCTAAAAAAAGGGCAAGTATGTCACCCAAGGAGATGCCAAAATCCACTGACTCAGATTTGGTAGGTTTACTTTCAGTCTTGATACTGTCTGGAAGCAGAGTAAGACACATCACAGGAAAATTAATGAGTGAATATCAGGTTGACAGAAAATGAGTGTGTTATCAGCAAAAAATAGATGAGTAATCTCCATTTGATTCTCTTGTTGGCCAACAATGATACCTTTTAATAGCTGCAATTCTTTATTTTTTTCCAATAATTTATTTAAACTTTCCATAACGATGATGAAAAGGAGAGGAGACAGGGGATCACCTTGTCTCAAACCTCTGAAAGCAATGAAAAAATTCGATGGACCACCGTTAATCATGACCACAAAACTAGATGTAGAAATGCACGTTCTAATCCAACCTCTCCATTTTGTAACAAAACCAAGTCTCTTCAGCATGTAGTCAATAAAGTCCCAACTGACGCGATCAAAAGCTTTCTTCATATCCAGTTTACATAATGTCCCCTTTTTGTTATTCCTGATGGCTTCATTTGCAATAAGAATAACATCTATAATCTGTCTACCAGAAACAGAAACATTTTTTGATTCCCAATAACTTTATGTAAAACAATAGCAAGTCTTTTAGTTAACACTTTTGAGAGAAATTTGTATATGTAGCCAATGAGACTTATAGGCCGGAAGTCTTTGATGTTCTTCGGGTTGGGTAATTTAGGTATAAAGATAAGAAAAGTAGAGTTAAGAGCTCTTAAAAAAGAGTCATGATTATGAAAATGATTGAAGAAGTCAATAATGTCGCTTTTGACAACCTTCCAAAAAGTTTATATGAATTTGAGATTAAATCCATCTAGCCCTGGGGCTTTGTCCCCATCACGATCCTTCAAGCAGTCAAAGATTTCAGCTTCAGAAAATTTTTTTTCCAATGATAAGCAATCATCCATATCAATTCTGGTAAACATTAAATCATCAAGTTTAGGGCGAGAGCCAATGGTTTCAGTGTAGAGTTTTTGAAAATATTTACAAGCGCCATTTTTTAGATCATTGTTGTTTTGAATCAGTTGGCCATCAATAGTGAGTTCGTCAACAAAATTGACTCTTTTGCGGTGGTTTGCAAGTATAGGAAGTATTTAGAGTTTTTGTCCCCATCCTTAAGCCATTTCTCTCTACATTTTTGCTTCCAAGAAGTAGCTTCCATTTGGAGCCTGTGCGCCAGATCAACTTTCAAATTGTTCCTTCTATCAATATCAGTAGAAGTGAGATTGCTGAGTTCTTCTAATTTGTCAATATTGTCAATTTCATTAATAATATCTGAAATGCCCTCTTCCTCTTGTCTGCCAGTGGTTTTAGAGCACTTCTTAATCTTTGTTTTGAGTATTTTGAGCTTCCGAGCAATTCTATAATTAGCCGTGCCACTGACTTGAGTGTTTTTCTAAGTGTCATTCACTAGTGTTTTGAAACTATCCAATGTGATCCACTTATTATCCAGGCAGAAGGGAATGGGCCCCCATTAGATTCCATTCGAGACCAACATGATGGGAAAATGGTCTGAAGTGAGTCTGGGCATGAGTTTTTAGTAAATATTTGGAAGTGAAATCATTAGATTAGAGGTGATAAGGAATCTTTCAATCCTTGAGAAAGAAGACGGATCACGCATATTACTCCACGTCCATTTTCCACCATTAAGTGGGAGGTCAGTCAAGTCAAGATTATTGATGAGGGAATGAAAGTCCTCAATGCTGGAATCACTGTAGCTTCTGCCCGATCTTTAAGATCTTTTTAAAACCATATTAAAGTCTCCACCAATGATACCTTTATTATCCCAGGTACTTTTGATCATCTCGAGTTCAGTTGCTAACAATGTGCATTCTGTGTTGTCTCTGTAATAAACACCAAAGAAATACCAAGTTTCACTGTTAGATAAATTTGAGAATAGACAAGAGAGGGTGATCTCACCGGGAATAACATTTTGGCATTGGAACCGGTCTTTTCTCCACATGATAATGATACCACCAGCTGATTCTTTGGTTGGTAAAAAATGCCAACCAATATCATTGGGACTCCAAATGCTTCTAATGAATTTATCGCTCACCGAGCTCATCTTTGTTTCCTGTAGACAGATTATGGATGGTTTCCACTTGTTGAGACATCCTCGAACAATTGTTCTCTTTTTTGAGTCATTTAAGCCTCTTACATTCCATGAAAGTATTTTGTCAATCATCATTGAGAAATTAAAATACTATCATTTCCCCTGTTCTTTTTGTTGCGTCTGTCATAGTTAATGGAGGTTTGTAGACGTCTCAATTCACGTGAACTCCCGTCTTTCTGTTTCTTTCGGTCCTTTTCAAGGAGCATAATTATTTTGTTCTCCTCATTCTTATTAACTTCCATATCTGCAAGAAGAAGTTGAATTTCTTTTTCATAACCAAAAAGAGGGGCACTGAGGAACTTACTTACATAGAAAATATTTTTGTTGATCCACTCGGAGTAGAGGTGAATGTCTCCCGCGTGGTTCCCTTTGAGTATGTGATCCAGGGAATTAATTAATTATGCCATATTGGTATCTTTAAGAGTTTGCAGAGTTGAGAGGTCTGATTCTGGTTCTGTCTGTACTGTGACCTATTCTGTTCCATTGATATGGATGTGTTCCTCTTCATGATTTACTGCTGGTCGAAAAAACAAGCTTGGTTCGGGAGACCAGTCATTAGAGCTGAAGACGCTGGTGGTTATGTCCCAGTGCAACTGTGTTGCATTTAGCTGATTTGAGGAAGGAGAAGTTTATTCGTTGTCGGTGAAAATTTCTTCACTATGAACCGCCATAACACTGTGTGTTGGGTCTGAGTCTTGAAATTTGTATTGGTATTCTGCGCAACTGAAGGTAAAACTCTTTTTTTCCTCCATTCCCTCGTTATTTTCTTAATTTTTTTTACTGGGCTAAGAGGATTCAGATTGGGCTTGTTTGGGCCAGCTAATCAGTTCATTTTCCTTTCTCAGCCCAGAAAAATCTGGGCTTTTTGTGGTTGTCTTGTGGTGCCCGAAATCCATTTAAAAAGGTCCCATTTGATTTTGTTGACTTAATCTTCTGATTTTGTCTCTGGCAGCTTTTGGTGGTGGCAGAGTTTGTCCTTTTGTCAGATGCAATTTGAATTTCTAGCTTTTTAGGTTTCCTCTTTGGGTCGGGTGGGTTTTCTTGCATTCGGGTATGAGCCGGGTCATTGCACTAAAGTATGGCTGCGTAAGTTTTCTTCTCCGGCGAAACCAACAGGACTTGGATTTGCGTTTTGCAGGTAGGGCAACAAATTGAACTTGAAAACATTGCATTGTTTACCATGGGTGTCGGGCTTGCTACCTTTTTCTGAAGCTTAAAGGGGTTTACCAGAGGAATTTCAGACAGCTCGGAAATTGCTTTTATAAAATGCCACCATCATCCAGCCTCATAGCCGTATGAGATGAAGATTCTCCTTGTTGAATTTTCTCTTTCGTCTGAGAGGACCATAGCCCGGCCTCTTCTATTCTGGATCATCACTAGAAAGAGATATCGATGGTCACCTTTAAATTTTTTACCCCAGAACTTCCCACCATTGTTCCAGTAGAAGTCGTTGAGTGATTTGGTAATCCATCTCACTTCGTTTCTATTGAGGCTGATTGACACCTTGTTCCGTGGCTGTTTTCATTTATTCGAAGTGCATCGAGTTTTCTTCCTTCGCAGATGACG